GTGCACGGTTAGTCCTGGTAGCGAGATCAGCAAGACTGCGAACGACATCTCAACCAACTCACACTATTTGAATCAGCTTGCCACGTGCTGCGACGATGGGGACGAGCGCAAGGTGTTCACTCAGACAGCGGCGACATCCAAACATTTATCCAAGGTTGGGTCGAGCACCAGATTTATCAATATTCTGGACAAGGCGCCTTTGGATAAGACGCCCACCAAGAAATCATTAAGCGATCTTGTAGAAGCAAATGCCGAGCAAGCGATGGAATCTTTTGACGCTGTCCGCTCTGAGTCCTCGACGCTGAATATCTTGTTCCCTGAGCTTGCAAAAGAAACTCTCGAAGGCTTGACAGAGTTCGTGTCTTCCGTCTGCACAAAGTTCGAGGAGGTCGCGAAAGCTTTCCTTGATGCTAATGGGGGCACCTTATTTGAGGAGGCCACGAAGCTGGAGGACCATCGGGGGCTCTGGACATTGCCCGTGGGGTAACCCGCTGTCCCCGAGGGCCCCGGCTTGGGTTGGTCGGGCGCCCAGGCGGGTAGCCACATCGGCTTGTCCAGCGCTCTCTAGGAGAAGTTTCTTCAGGTCGAGGGCGAGAAGGGTGAACAATTTTTGAAGGGCTTCGGCAAGGCTGACTTGAAGGCCCTTTCCCCGTTGCACGCCAAGCTTACCAAGCATATCGATGATATCGTGGAGCTTTTGACTTCGCTGGGGCTGAAAAACTTGCCTGAGAGTGTCTCCAAGAGCCAAGACATCGCCGTGCGCCTCAGCGCCATGTCCGTGAAGTGGGACCTATTTTCACTCTTGGGCAAGGACGAGAACGACCCTGGCAGCGTGGACGCCGAGATGCAAGCCTTGTTCCAGGACCACTTCAGCACGGAGTTCAAAACGACTTTGGATCCTGAGATCTGGGCATCGTTCGAGGAGAGGGTGAAGGGGATCAGGTCCGCGGCCCTTTCTGCCAAGGCCAAGCAGAGGAAAGTGAAGGTCACTGTAGAACCTGAGCCAAGCCAGGCGCCCAAGAAGAGGGCCAAGCGTGGCCCCAGGACCGCCTGAGTTTCTATATAGTTAGCGGCAGTGCTGTCTTGGAGAAGCGACAGCACTGGTTTTGTGGATGAAGACAATTTCAAAAACAGTTTCAATCATCGATCAGTGTTTTTTATCATTGTCTGGTATGGTTGGCTGGCCGAGGCATTTGTCCATGGAATTTGTAGGCTCAAGAACTGCCTACAACATTCGACTCGCGACATCCGACTTACATTGCAAGCCGCCGTCTGAGAAGTTGCGATGCCACCGAAGAAACTTCCTGCGGCGGCACCCACACCGCCGCCCGCGCGGAAGCGGCGGGCTGGAGCGACACCCGAGCTGCCGAAGAAGGTCCTCAAGATGATGCTGGATGCAGCGGCCGCAAGAGGTATCGACATCTACAAGCAGCTGAGTGACGTCCTCAAAAGGTTGAAGACGATCAAGGTGGGGAGTATGTGCTCTGGCTCTAACGTGGCGGCTGTGCAGCTCCACGTGCTGACTGGGCATCTTGGTTGCGGCAAAGTCAAGGACCTCTTCTGCTGCGAGAACGACCTCACGAAGCGTCAGTGGTTGGTTTACTATCACGACTACTTCGGCATCGACGATCCCGTGATCTTCAAAGATATCATGAAGATGAACCAGGTGAAGGCCGAGTGCCATTCGCGTGACGAGGAGGCCTTTATCAACAAGGAGGGCCCGTTGTTTACCTCGGTAGGTTTCTCCTGCAAGAACTTCAGCAAGATGTTTAGCGGCACTGCCCAGATGAGCAGGGAGAACATGCTCAACGAGATCCTGAAGGAGGCCAAGGGGAGTTCGGGTGCCACGTGCAAAGGCATGATCGGATACTTGGGGAAGCACGGGCCGCCCGTTCATATCTGGGAGAATGTGCCCGAGATCCTTGACCCTACTAATGCCGACAACCTCGAGTGGCTACTCTCGGCTTTGAACAAGCTGAACTACGCCTGCGAGCAGGCCAAATTTGTGTCAACCGACTTTGGTATACCGCAGCGCAGGCGCCCGCAGAATGTCAATGCTGATGGGTGCCCTTACGCACTCCGCATTCTTACTCTCACTCCTCTACTTCCCTCCTCCTCCTCCTCCTCCTCCTCCTCCTCCTCCTCCTCCCCCTGCTCCCCCCTCCTCTCCGTCCTTCCTCTCGTCCCCTTCGTTCCTCTCGCCCCCTCCCCCCTTCTATACCTCCCTCCTCCACCTCTTCTACGTCCCTTTTCCTCTCTCCCCGCATCCTACATCGTCCTCCCTCCCACTCCTGTATTTCCCTCCCGCTCGCCCCCTCCCTCTCCTCCTCTACACCATCTCCTTCTAAGGCCGGTGGAGGGGGTTCCCTCGTTTGATTGTTGCTGGATGCATTTGGGCACCCGAGCATTGATCATTCTTCGAAGGGTGCGGGCTTACGGGGTTTGCGTGAAGTGGTCCGCCGACTCCTCAGACTACCTGCCAGACAAGCAGACGGCGTTTACCATGGCCCGATCGATCATCAGGGGGGTGGACATCTTCAAGACGAACGGCACCCTGGACAGACAGACAGATCCGAACGGTGCCCTGGAGGAGATCAGCAAGACTGCCGGCCACCTGAATCTCAGCGAGTTCTTGTTGCCCAACGACTCCGCCATCGTGATGGACGCGCTGCACCGCCTCGAGGACGCGAAGCGTAAGGCCGACAGCGAGGAGGACGCCTCCGAGAAGGAGAAGACGAGGAAGTGGCGGGCTGACATCCAGCGCATGTGCGCCTCTTCTTCTATCCCGTACAGTACCTTGGAGCGGCATCGCCTACTGGGCAAGAGCTCGCACCGACATGACATTCCTGGACATCAGCCAGATGCCTGAGCGAATGAACCCATGCACCCACGCCACCACGCCAACGATCACGCCATCTGGACGTTTCATGATGTTCCCTCCTATCGTGCCCGAGCCGCGGCTGCTCACGGGATTTGAGGGCATGATGCTGCAAGGGTTTCCGCGCAGCATGCTGGTGGAGTTCATCAAGAAGGAGGTGCAATATATTGGATCTAAGCGGGTCGACGTTCTCTTCATGGACATGAGCGGCAACGCTTTTACAGGCGCCGTGATCCTAGCCTTGCAGATGTCCGTCCTTCGCTTCTTGCCGGACAAGTTGGTGGCCTCGGCGACGAGAGCGTGCTGTCCCGTGTTTTCCCCTCCAGCTAATTGGAGATCGCAGCGAGGACTGCGGCAGTGCCAGCCGCCCAAGAATGAGCCACGATGCGTAGGCCAGGGAAACAATTCCTCTTCCTCCTCCCTCCCTGCTCCCTCCCTTTCTCCTTCCTCGGCGGCGCGCCGAGGGGGCAGGGGGAGGGGGGAAGGTATCAGACTTCAGAAGCCCTCGGAGTCTTCTAAGAAGCTATAGGAGGGCTTTAAGAAGCACCCTGCCTTCTAAGAAACTCCCCCCCTCCCCCTGTCTCCCTCGGCGCGTCACCGACTTTCCACTTCCCCTCCTTTCTCCCTCCTCCCCCCCTCCACGCCCCGCGCCTGCCCGACCGTGCGCCCACCGCCCCGTTCGACAAAGCGGAGAAGGCAGGACGGCCGCGGCTGCCCGAGCGCCGCCGCGGGGGGAAGGAGGAGGACGGGGAGGAGGAGGAGTAGGAGGAGGAGGAGGCGGAGCAGAAGGAGGAGGGGGAGGAGGCGGAGGAGGAGGAGGAGGAGGAGGACGAGGACGGTGAACAGGATGATGAGGATGGTGGCGGCCGCGACGCTGATCCGCCCCTTTCATATCCCTCCTCGTCCGTTCTTTTTCGCTTTCCACTTCCGACGTTCCCGCGGAGTTGGGCTGAAAGCCAATGCCCTTTGGGCAGAGCGTTCCTGAAAAGCTGAGCGTTTCAGAAACGCGTTCCGTTTCAGAAACAGGTTGCCGTTTCAGAAGCAGGTTTCCGAAACGCACTCCCGAAATCCTGAGCGTTTCGGGCGGGCGGCCCCGAAAGGCGTGCCCGAAACGAAGTCCCGAAAGGGGGTCTCTCGATTGTAAAGAGTAGACCTTCGAAGTCCTGATAAGAAATGACGGGAAGAAACAACACACGATGAAACATTCAAGCTACGACCCGCCCAACCACCCAAGAACGAGCCAACTCGTCCGGGAACCGGCCCGCCAACAAGCTCGACAGACGGACAAGAGACGAGTATTGCAGTCAGCACGTGCTGCCTAAGGCGACTGCCAACACTCTATCCTCCGTCTTCCTGCTCAATGTTTTTCCCTTTCTCCTGCTATTCCTCCTTCCTCCTGTTTCCTCGAGGTAAAACTTAAACAATTTTAACTAAGACGAGTTCGCAGGGAGCGTGCTGGATCGGCGGCACAGGCTGGAGGTCCCAACAAACTTCAGAATTGGGCATGCTATTTCCAAGAAGCTCACGACTGTGGGCACAGCGATTCTCTACATAAGTCTCACTAGACGGAGTGAAAGAAAACGACCTTCAGTCAGTTTTACTTCCTGCTCCTTTCTCTCCTTCGTCCACCCCCTCCCTCCTCCTCATCCTCACCCTACAAAGCCTCCTCTCCCTCCCCCTCCTCCTACAACTCCTCCTATCGCCCTCCTCCTCCTCCTCCGCCTCCTCCTCCTCCTCCCCACTCCCCTCCTCCTCCTCCCCCGCCCCCTCCTCCTCCTCCTCCTCCTCCTCCTCCTCCTCCTCCTCCTCCTCCTCCTCCTCCTCCTCCTTCTCTCCTCCTCCTCCTCCTCCTCCTCCTTCCCTCCCCCCTCCCTCCTCCTTTTCCTCCTCTTCCTCCTCCTCCTCCTCCTCCTCCTCCTCCCTGTCCTCGTCCTCGTCCTCGTTCTCCTCCTCCTCCTCCCTGCTCCTGCTCCTGCTCCTGCTTCTGCTCCTGCTCCTGCTCCTGCTCCTGCTCCTGCTCCTCCTCCTCCTCCTCCTCCTCCTCCTCCTCCTCGGGCCGAGGAGGGGCCGAGGAGGGGCCGAGGAGGGGCCGAGGCGGGGCCGACGGCAGCGCCGACGCCGCCTCGAAGCCCGCGGCCCCCACCGCGCGGCTGTCCGTCCCCCAGTCCGCGCCCTCGCTCCCGAGCACGAGGCTCGCGGCCTCAGCCGCGGGTTGCGTGCCCGTGCCAGCCGGCGGCAGCCCCCGGAGCCCCTCGGAGGCACTCGGCGGTCGCTGCCAGCGAGGAGGAGGAGGCGGAGATAAGGACGAGGAGGAAGAGGAGGAAGAGGAGGAGGAGGAGGAGGAGGAGGAGGAGGAGGAGGAGTCTTCGCGCAGTTTTCGACAGCAGATTTAAGTCGGGCCTGGGGGGGAATATCATTTTTATATAAAACGTCGAGGGACGATCTTGCTTTACTACTTTTTGCATTTCGGAAACATGTTGTGCATACTGAAATGTTTTGCTCATAATCCGCCGATCCGGCGTGTGAGCTACAAGGAGCCCCAGCAAGAGCTTCAGCTCTGAGCCTAAGCAAAAGCTTCAGCTCTGCTTGGGGGGGGGGTCGCAGGGGTGGCTCTGCCGGGGAAGGGGGGGCGGGGGGCGGGGCGGTCCCCCATCTGGCGTTTTCTTTATGACTTGCGCGTCCGATCCCCCCCCCCCGGGGAAGCGGGGGAGGGGGGGGGGGCGTCCCCCATCTGGCGTTTTCTTAATGGTTTGCGCATCCCCAAGATGTTTCGGGGGGTCCCCCCCCAGATCTAGACGCTACCCCCCCCAGGGCCCTCCCCTCGGAACCCTCCCCGGACCCCCGCCCGGACCGCTCCAGGCACTCCCCCAGAGGAGAAGAAAAAGGACCAGAAGAATCGAGCGGGGAGGAAGCCACAGAGCCGCGAAGATCACCGAATCCGGACCCCCCGGATCGGCGGCACTTGCCGGAGGCCATTACAATCTCCCTGTAGGGGGACAGGCCCGACTTAATGCCAGCGGCCCCTGGGCGGCCTCGGGTGGCCGTCGGTGGTCTTCGGTCGCCTTTGGACGTCGTCACCCCAACGTTGCCGTCGCCGTTGCCGCCGCCATCGCCGCCGTCGCCCGGAGAGATGAGGCGGGGAGGAGGGCAGATGGAGGGGGCCGCTCAGTCCGCGACGCCGCCGGGGGGATCCCGCGGGGACGGCGCCACGGGCTCGAACACGGCGCCGCCGAGCCTGAGCGCGCCGGTTTGGTCGCTTCTGGCTCCCGGCCCCCGCCTCCTTTGATGCTCCCAGGGCCCCAGCCTAGGTAGGATCAGAGGAGGAGGACGAGACGGACGACGAGGACGAGAGGGGAGGGCAAGGATCGGGTTGCCCGATGTTTCTCAACCTTTGGGTGCCTGCAGGGGGCGTCCTCAACGTCAGGGTTAGATCCGCCCCGGAATTCTTCTGGACACATGTGATAGCCGATGTCTGAGACAAGGAAGAGGAAAGGATGTGGAGAAGGACGAATGCGGCGGAAGGCAAGGAGAACCAGGAGGATAAGGACGCT